GCGGTCGCCTTGGGCCCAGGCGAATGGGGAGGCCCAGACGCGGGGCAGGAGGCATCCAGGCTAGCGGGAGGGAACAGGATCGAAGCCCCTGCGCAGGCCACCCACCTCTAGGGACATTTTCCACTCTTCTCCCTGATGAAAGCTGACTCTCCCCAGAACTCGCCCCCTCCACCATTCTGGGGTGACCAGGAGGGAATATATAGTTACTCCATGAGCAGCTCCTCGCGAGGCGGTTGAGGAGCCTCGGGACGAAGCAGAAAACGCAGCTGGGGGGCTTCCGGGCCTGACCCGGAGGAGGAGGTCTCAGGGCCCGGAGGGGGACACTGAGTTGGGGCCTCCACGCTTTGCGCTTCGGATGGCCCAGAGTCGTCACTGCCTAGTCAAGGACTCTCAGAGACCGCAGCTGAGAACGGCCCGGGGCACCCTGCGTCCCACCCGGCTGATGCCCCGAGGACTTCGCTCTCCTGCTCGGGGGCCTCGACTCCCTTCTCTGCTGAGGACACCAGGACCTCGCTGCTCGGCCTGGGGACCTCGGTTCCTGTTCTGCAGCAGGTTCTGGGGCTTCGCTGTCTGGCCAGGGGGGGCTCGTGGCCCCTCCCTTCAAACAACCCCAGGGCTCCTCTCCCCGGCCCGGGGGCCTCGGTGTCCGGGATTGGGAGTAGCTCCGAAGCCTCAGTTCCCAGCACCAGGGTTCTGATGCCCAGAGCTAGGTCACGGTGCCCTGAGCGGCACCTGTGGCCGCAGTCTCCGCCCGCGGGTTCCAAGGCGTAGCCCGCACCGGCGGCTTCTCTGACCCGTCTCTGGCCTCCAAGAACGGCCCCCGCGGGCAGGACCGGGCACCGCCCCCGGCACCTGCCAGGAGGACTCCGGCCCCGCCCTGGCCCCGCCCTCGGGGCGGGGGGTGTGCTTCGGTGGGGCACCCGATTTCGTCCACTGGCGCACTCAGGGCACAGGTCAGCTCAGGGAACAGGACTTCTTGAAAGAGGGCTTCCCTAGACCCGGCCCGCTAGCTGGGGGACCACTGTGGGTGCCATGTTCTTCTACTGCGCGCACCCTGGCACATTTTTGGCTCTCTGTCCCTGACATCGCCCAGGAGATTTGGCTCCAGAGCGCGCCGGGAAGACTCTTTGAACCATTGGCCCTCTTGTTGGGGTGTCCCGCGGAGCCATCTTTCCCCGACCTGGCCAGCCCCGCCCAGCCGGTGTCAGCCGGCGGGCAGCGACAGCCCTGGCCTCTGGGCCCTCTCTCCACGTTCCACCCTTGCCGAGTGCAGCTCGGGCCCGAGGGGGCGCCAGGAGCCGTCTTACGGCGCGCCCGAGTCTCCCTCCGGGTGCCTGAGCTCAGCGAGGTTCCCAGCTGTGTGCCTTCGGCCCTGCCAAGCCCTGAAACAGCCTCCCCTCCCTCCCGGAGAAGTCCGCAAGGCGTCCGCAGCCAAGTGCACTCCCAGAGTGAGGCGGAAGGGAGAGACCGACACAGCGCGCCCAGGGGCGCAGCGTAGCGGTGGCGGTTGAAGGGCGGTCACCTTGGGCCCAGGCGAATGGGGAGGCCCAGACGCGGGGCAGGAGGCATCCAGGCTAGCGGGAGGGAACAGGATCGAAGCCCCTGCGCAGGCCACCCACCTCTAGGGACATTTTCCACTCTTCTCCCTGATGAAAGTAGACTCTCCCCAGAACTCGCCCCCTCCACCATTCTGGGGTGACCAGGAGGGAATATATAGTTATCTAGAGAAACTGGCGGGTGTGCTGCACAGCCTCAGGAACCCCCAACAACCCAATTATCTGATCACCTCCTCCTCCTTCCGACCCCATCAGCCTAATCAGGCCGACCTGGGTTCCATCCCACTCATCAGCTGAGCAAGACGTGAACTTTCTCCAGGGCTCAGTTTCCTTGTCTGTAAAATGGGAATAACAGTGCCTATTCGCTTAGGAGGTGATGAAGATGAAGGCTATGTGCTTCTGGAAAAAGTTGTCTCTACAGAGCTTTCTCCAATTTATCACCTCCTGGTCCCTCTTCCAGCCATGCTAACCAGACTCTTGGCCCCCATCCCCCTGAGCCTTCTTCATCCAAGGACACCTATGACCTCCATTTGGCAGACCCTGCCGCTGGCTCCTTCCCCTGTCTTCCTCTCCATTAGCTCCTCAGTTTGGGGGGACACCAGCTTTTCCTGGTTTCCTCCTACCTCATAGGCACCCCTTCTCAGACTTTTGTTTCACCCGGATCAATGGGCTTCCTTCCTCTCTGGCTTCCATTGGGATCGGCTGATGGGAGAGAGGTCAACATGTTTCTTCCAAGCCCCATTGGGTACACTTCAGGTGGCAGCAGTTCTATGTTGCTGTCTCCTGGACTGGGACGGGGGTCGGGCAGGTAACAGCTCTCTATTATGGTTTCCCTACACATTTGTAAACTGTTTATTAAATTCTCATCAATGACTCCATTTGACTACACAGCAGGACCACCAGCAGGACCCTTTGCTGCCACCAGCAAGACCCTGAAAAATTCCAATCTCATGCTTTAAATCCCTTCTTTATGTTGATGTCTCCCAAATTTATATCTCAGCCCTGACTTCTCCCCTGGGCTTTGGATTCACATCTGTCTCCAGTCTACTAGATATCTCAGATAGAACACTTCCAAAACTGCACTCTTGGTCAACCCTGCTCCTCCCCACTGGGTGGCAACTCCACCCATTCAGTTCTTCATGCCAAAAGCCTAGGAGTGAGCCTCAATTTCTGCCTTTCCCTCAGCTCCCTCCAATCCATAAGCAAACCTTGTTGCCTCCAAACATGTGCTGAATTCATCCACTTCTCTCCACCCTTGTCCCAGCCACATCCTCTTCCTCCAAAGGCTCCCAGCGAACTTAGGATAAAAATCCAAACTACCTACCCTGGCTCTGAAGGTCCTGCCCACTTCTCAGATCTCATCTTTGCACCTTCGTGCTTCCTTTAAACCTCCTAACTTCATCCTCCCTCAGGGCCTTTGCACCGCATTTCCCTGGGCTTTGAATTACTCAACATATGGCTGGTTCCTGCTATTCAGATCTCAGCTCCAATGTTACTTCTTCAGAGAATGGGTCCCTGATCCCCCAACCTACAACAACACTGCTTTCTTTACCCCATCCCAGTTATTCTCAGTAACTCCCCCGCTGCTGCAGTTATCACCAATCACCTCTTTATTTGTATATTACCTATCTCCCTTCCCATGCTAGAAAGTGAGCCACATTACAGCATATGCTGATTGTCTTGCTCACTCTCTACTCAACTCCCCCATGCCTACAGTAGAGCCTGACACATGACAGTTGTTTAAGAATTATTATTTAATGATATTTACTAGGCACCTACCCCAATCCTGGGAATAAAGAAATAAGTCAGACTTAAAGGTGGCAGTTGAGTTTGGGAGACAGACACAGTTATAACAGTGCTGCCCCAATGTGGTACCCAGGATAAGGTGTGAATATAGGACCACATATTATACACCTGAATATTGAACAGTTATAAAATCAAACTACAAACAATCAAATTAAAGATGTTCTCTCTTCCAAAAGGTGGAAACAAGCCAAGTATCCATCAACGGATGAATGGATCAACAAAATGTGGTCTGTCCATGAGATGGCATATTATTCAGCCATAAAAAAGAATGAAGCACTGATCCATGCTACAAGGTGGATAAACTTTGAAAACATGATGCTGAGTGAAAGAAGCCAGACACAAAGGGCCACATAGTGTATGAGTCCACTTACATGAAATATCCAGAATAGGTAAAGCCATAGAGACCAAAAGCAGATTAGTAGCTGCCAGGGGCTGGGGGAGGGGGAATGGGAGTGACTGCTTGATGGGGACAGGGCTTCCTTTTGGGGTGATGAAAATGTTCTGGAACTAGATAGTGGTGATGGTTGCACAACATTGTGAATATGCTAAATGCCACGAATGGTAAATTTTATTATGTGTAGGATTTAGGTGGGCACATTCCTTTTGCCCACTGGGGTGGTCCTTGCTGGAATGTCCTGTAAAGTGTGGGGCCCATTGCAGGCAAAAGCCCTTCTTCTCAAGGTTAAGGTTGGAACTGCACAGCATGACCAAGGTTGTGATGTGATAACCACTGATAGCTGCAGGAATCCAGAGGGGCCCCTGCCCCAGCCAGGCAATTAGGAGATGAATTCCCCAAGAGTATGTTTAAATGAAATATGCAGTCAGCTGAGAAGGGGAGTGCTGGCCCTTTAAGAACAGGATGGGGGTATAGAACAAGGACTCTGCAGATTGGGGTAGTGTGTAGTCCATTTTGCATTGTTATAACTGAATACCTGAGACTGGTTACAAAGAAAAAAAACTTACTTCTTACAGTTCTAGAGGTTGGGAAGTCCAAGGTCAATGGGCCACATGTGGTGAGGACATTCTTGCTGGTGGGAGCTCTCTGCAAAGTCCGGAGGTGGTGCAGAACTTTACAGGGTGAGGTGGCCCACTGAGATCCAAACTGGTTTTTATAAGAGACACACTCTCATGATAACTAATCCACTCCCATGATAACCTGTTAAGCCATTAATCCATGAATGAATTAATCCATTCATGAAGGCAGAGCCCTCATGACCCAGTCACCTCCCAAACATTCCCACCACTCAACACTGCTGCATTGGGACCAACTTTCCAACACAAGAACTTTTGGGAGACACATTCAAACCATAGCAGGCAGGAAGGTCTCTAGACCTTCCTAGTCACCACTCCACCCCTAACTGTCACAGCATTTAAGGGATGTCCAGGGTCCTGGAGGCCACTTGATCTGATTCTCTCATTTCACAAAAGGGGAAACTGAGGCCTAAAAACCTGAGGCCCACCGTTACGCAGGGTCCAGTCCTCCTGGTTCTCTGGATGCTGAGCCTCTGATCTCCAGAATCCTCTGGCTGGATTAGTCCTTCCCTCCCCAGCCCAGAGCCAGGGTCCGAGAAGGGAGAGTGGTAGTATGTTCGAGTATCCAGCATGTGTGCTATACAGCAATGTGCCTGAGGGTGAACCTTGGTAGACAGTCGGACTTCAGATGAGTGGGGTGCCAAGTGGAGACCCATTCTCTTGGTGGAAGATACCACTGGCTCGCCACTCTCGCCTACATCCCTAATCACGCGTGTGAGAGCGTGTTTGCCGGGAAGCAGCCGAGTGCAGCAAGGAGGCCAGTGGCTGGTAAATAATTTATCAAGACAGCTGATAGCACCTCCCCAGAACTGCCTGTCAGCCCCCAACCCCCCTCACCTGTTTGCTTCACGCCTCCTCCTGGCCCAAACCAGCTGGACCAGCTCTCCCAGTGCTCGCCCCGCAGCCCCCCCCACCCCCCCGGCCAGCCAAGTCACAGGTTCCAGGGCACCTTTGGACAAGCGGGTGGTGGGTCCTGAACTCGGAGACCAGAAAGCAGGCTTCTGGGCAGAGATGGCCCTGCAGAGCCAGGTGTGGTCTTCGGCCACACCCATGTAAGTGTCTGGGGTTAGGGGGGCCAGTGGGCAGGGTCTGGGAGGGGCTCATGGGGGACCCTGACCTTGCCTGGGAGCCAAGAGTCCCAGCTGGCCTTTCCTAAGGGGACCAGGGGGAGTTGAGGGGGTGGGCAGTCAACCCCAGAGGCTTCTCAATGCCCCCCTTCCCCAGAGGAGTTGGGCGGGAGACCTGGACTCCCCTGGCCCTGTCTTCTTCAGGGATTTTCCACTGACAGCCAAAGTCCAGCCTGGGGGTGGGGCTATTGCTGGGGGGGTCCCTCAATCCCATGCTTTGCCTCTAGAATCACCCTCTTGATGTCTAGGGTGGGAGGAAATGCTTGAGATCCAATCAAAGAAGTTAACAGCTTCCAAACCAGGAAAGTCAATGGCAAAATCGAAACGATGACCTGCTTAATGAAATAGCCACCAACTGTTCATGGTGACAATAGGCTATGGCCACCAACACAGTTCTTGTAGAGTTAGAGATAAACGATATTGAAAGGGGGGCATGTGGAGTATTTTAATATTTAATGTGTGAGGACTTTTTAAAGTAAGAGGGTAGAGGGGCTCTACAGGTTTGTAAAGAGTTCTGGAAAAGGGGCTCCCCCCTACTAGGGACCCCAATTTGGTTCCTCACCCTTCTGGGTCCCCATTGCATTATTCACCAACTGCAAACCTGGTTGCCTAGCAATGGGAACCCGATCCCCCCCAGCAAGGAAGAGGCAGGGAGATTACATCTTGAGGGTGGGACAGGAGAGGGGTGACTTCAGCCCTCCCCCAGGGGAAAACTTATAAGCTGGGCTTCCTCTGGGATATCCTACAAAGCATGACTTTAGTCCCCAGCCCCAACCCCCAGGCTTATCTCTGGCCTCCTGGTTGCTAAGATGGAGGTTCCTGGACACCCTACTACCACCACCGTGCTCCCAGTGTTTGGGGTCTGAGAACTTCAAGTTCTTTTTAGTTTGTTGTTTTCGTTTTTTATTTTGATGTCTGGCCAGTATGGGGATCCAAACCCTTGACCTCGCTGTCATGACACCACGGTCTAAACAACTGAGCTAACTGGCCAGCCCTCAAGTTCTGATCCTGAATCCATGACCTTGGAAAGGCTTTTCAGCATTTCTCAGAGCCTCAGTTTCCCTATCCATAAATGGGGATGATACTACTACTTACCTCCTAAGATCCTTGGGAGGATTAAACGATTTACTATAGGTAAAGCATTTAAAACAGCGCCTGGCTCGTGGTATGCGCTGGCTAATGGTTGGCTGATTTTGTTCTTAGTTGGAATGTCAACTCAGCAGAGCTTCGACTACAGGACTACAGCGTATCATGAGCGGGGCAGGGAGGGGGAGGCGGAGGTGGCTGTGGGAGCCCAGCCGAAGCCCTGTAGGGCACTTAGAACCTTATATATAGTAAATGCTATTATGCCTTCATGGTGTGGCCAGAAAGGTCTGGGAGTCTGGAGTTTGGGCAGTGAGGCTAATGCTCACCCAGTAGGGTTGGTGTTCCAGTCAATAAAGTTTTGAGGGTTTGTTCTGTGCCCACCGTGGCTACATATCAGGGATGAAGGCAGATAGATATTGCCTTCTAGATATTGGCCCGTGGAGCATAGTCAACACAGTGACAGAGTCAGTGCTCAGTGCATGTCCATGATGATAAGGATGATGTGACATTGCCCTGAGGTACCACAGTCAGCCTCTGGCTTCCAAGGACAGCCAAGATGGGGCAAGGGCCCACCCTGGAGGCTGGGAAGCAGGGATGCTTTAAAGAGGACAACAACGGGGAAATCTCAGGTTAAACCTTAAATAGCAAATCTTCCAGCTCAGAGTCCAGCTTGACTGGGCAGCGTGACCTAGTAGTGATCGTTGCCCCCAGGGAGGGGGGTTGGTAGGTGGAGGAAGCAACTCAGAGTTAACATGACAATGGTGAGATGGTGACTTCTCTCCTCAGACTCTCTCCCACCCCCCAGCACTTAAGGGATCCTGGGTAGGAGCCAAGGTCCAGAGAGGGTGTAAAACTTGGAAGAGACACACGGCATGCTAGGGGCCTGGCAGGATTGGAAATTTTCTGTAGGGCAGACTGGGAATGGTTATTAGAATTAATCATAAATTTTATTAATCATGGAATTTATGTTATTGTTAATAATAAACTACGGTACCATTTTTGGAGCACTATGTCCTAAGCTTATTCCTGTATGAATACTTTTTTGCAAGGGTCCTCCGAGATGGGGGGGGAGGGGTCAAGCTTTCCCAGCCCATTTTACAGATGAGAAAACCGAGGCTGAGAGATACCACATCAGACCTATGAAGGGTTTTAGCTCAGCCAGTCATGGTCTCTGCTCACTGCCCCTAGCAAGACCATCACCCTCTGCCCAGATTCCTCCCGGATGCAAAGGGGAAATAGAGGCAAAGCGCTGGGCTCTGGCAGGTTTTCAAGCAGGTCAAGGATCTTGGCCAAAAGAGGGGCGTTCACGAGGTCGTCTGGCTGAGGGATTGGGGACCAGAGAGCCGCCCTCCGCAGCTCCTGCCCTCTCCCCACAGGCCCATGGCCGAGAGCTCCCTCTACCGGCAGCGGCTGGAAGTCATCGCCGTAAGTGACGCCCTCCCAGTGCGCTCGGCCCCCCGCCCTGGGAACCCCCAAACTGTCCCCATGCTCCTTCCTTGTGTCTCTGCCATTCCTGGGAGCAGGCCTACCATTGTGAAGAGGGTGAGCAGACCTCAGCTCCGGCCCTGCCCAGGCCGCTCCACCTAAGTCCTCTTCCCTCCGCAGCTCCTCTGTCTGAGACCCGTCTCTCGGACCGCCGCTTATCACACTCCCATCTCTCCGTGTTATTTTTTTCTTTTGGCGGCCGACCGGTCCCACCTCTCAGATCTCCCTCTGTTGGGCCCCTCTCCTTGGAGTCCTTCCTCTGATCCTTGTCACTTTGGCCCCTCTCGCTGGACTTGCACCACTGTGATCCTATCTATGTCCCTCATCCTTCTGACACCCATCTCTGCGCCCCTGTCTCTCTGCACCCCACATCTGTACCCCATCCCTCCGATCCCCATCTCTGTATCCCATCACTCTGCACCCGTGCCTGCACTCCACCTCTCTCTCTGCACCCCCATGGCTGCTCCCCCATTTCGGATTCCCATCCTACTGGCACCCTCCCTTTTATTCCCGTATCTGGAAGCCCATCTCTTGAACCCGGTATCTCGGACCCCCCTCCGGATCCTTATCTCAAGGCCCCGCCCACACCCATCCACAGACCCCCATTGGGCGCGGGCGAGGCCTCCGCGGCCTCCCAGCCCCGCCCCGCCC